CGACCCGGTATGAGCCCGGCTCAGTACGAGCTCGACCCGGTATGAGCCAGGCTCGGTATGAGCCTGATCCAGTACAAGCCCGACCCGGTATGAGCCCGATCCAGTACGAGCTCGGCGCCCGGCCCGGACGCTCGTCTCAAGACAAGGATCCATTTTTAGTCAGAACAGGCAGAAATGAGGAAGTGGAGCGTTGCGTTCAGCGCCAGTCAGAAAACCCAACTCGACCTCCGGGCAGCTTCAGAACCCACAACCCGAACGTCCTCCATGTTCTCGGTTCTTCACCCTTGAGAAGCTTCAACTCTGAGCGGATCCTTGTAGCCGTGTTCCGTTGCCCTCCGGCCGGTCGCACCAAACGAGTCCAAGACAGAACAAATTAAAAGCTCAGGGAAAGAGAAGCTTTTATTGTGAAGGCAGATGTTGTTCTTGATGTTTGAAATTAACTTTGTGCTGCAGAAGAAACATCTGGACCTTCTTGTGTTTCCTTTGACTTTTGTTCAGAGTCGTCTTGGTGTTATAGAGAGAAGCTGCAGTGATCCACAGGAAGTACCGTTCTATCTGCAGTACTTCTATATTTAGTCGCTCGGCGCGGCTGAGCTCCACCGCAGAAGAAAAGTTTTGGTGTGAATGAGGTCAGAGCGGCTCCACAGCTGCTGAAACACCTGCAGCGCTCAGGTGTGCTGTCTCCTGCCGCACCTCAACAACTGGCAGCTTCCTGCGCACACGCCTTCATCTGAAGCCACTTCAATATGAACCAAGACAGAAGATCAGCGCTCGTGGATCAGCTGTGTCCGGATGGTGTGAAGATGTTCATGGTGAGGAGGACACAGAAGAAGAACTCTGCTCCGTCGTTACGAACAGTCTGCCTTGTTGGGACAAGAAGACCAAGCTGGTGTGACGAGAAGAACTTAGAGCAACAAGTCGAGCATCATCAGCGTAAGACGACATGAAGACGTGTGAGGAACTGAAAGACGGTGTGCTGGAGCTGTTAGGATCAGGTCCAGGTTCTAGGTGGACACGTGGAGCAGCAGGAGACTCTGACGACCTGTGAAACTTCAGGTCGTTCTGTGTGTAACCACCTGGCATTTACTCTTCTGCTCAGTTGGAGATGTTTAAGGAGCCTGTGAGCTCTGGTTGACCTCGTTACCTTGAAGTTCCACCACAAGCAGAGCAGAAACTGATCAGAGATCTTCATCCAGAATGAGAGCTGAGAATCCGACACAAACACTTCAGTTAACTGTGACGAACCACCTGAACCCTTCATGGGTTCCTCAAAGAAGTTCAGACCATCGCTTTAGCTGATCTCCTCTGAAAAGCCTGGAGTTTCTGCTAGACTGATCCAGGACCTTCTCAGCACACTTCCTCAAATGAAAGTGGTTTTGATCAGACTCTGGTGCAGAGCTGGCCTGAAGCACGAGTCCTGCTGCAAAGACTCATCAGAGGTTTTGAACTCTGGTGTCCCTCACGAGATCTTAGGTTCTGGTTTCTTCAGTCCAGGTTTCTGAGATGTTTCACATCATTAACGGGATGAGGACGGTTGATTAAACACCTCAGTCTTCAGATCTCTCTCCCGTGGAACATCTTCTGCTGTTGGTCCTCTTCATTTCTTTAACGTTTAACTTTCTGCTGAACTCGCTGAAGCTTCCTGTTCGTACCTGCAGCTGCCGCTGCGCCTGTTGCTGCGAGCAGCTGCAGCTTCACTGTGACTTCTTCCACACTTCAACCCTCAGAGATGCTCTTCCTGTTTCTGAACAGGAAGTTTGTCCCGTCAAGATAAAAGCTGAGTGTCCGGGAGCTGCTGGTCACTGCAGCTCTGCAACACCCGGCCTCGGCCCACGACCGCAACAGGAACCAGAAGTTTCCACGACGCAACCACAGCGAGCGCGCCGCAGTGGAAACTTCATCTGTGTGAGCATTTCACAACCTTCTACACACGTCTACGGTCTGAAGCCGAAGACGAGAACCTGTGGCTGAAGTGACCGAATGCTGCAGCGTCTGACCTCAGATCTGCTCATGGCCTGTTAGAGGTGACCCCACAGAGGTCACAGAGGTCAGAGGTCATCAGCAACATGACATCAGGAACCAACACTCAGACTAAAGACGGCTGGAGGGCAAGAGCAACACGAACTCAAAGAAGCAGAACAGTAACTAAAAGCTAAACGTCACTAACGGTCAGCTAAAATTCAGTTCAGTTTATTTATAAAGCTCCAAGTCACAAGAGGAGTCGGCTCAGGGCTGAACAGAAAGATGGATCAATAAAAATGATTTAACAGAAAGATCGATCAATAAAATAATTTTAACAGAAAGATTGATCAATAAAAATGATTTAACAGAAAGATTGATCAATAAAAATAATGAATTGACTGAAAGATTGATCAATAAAAAAACTGAAAGATTGATCAATAAAAATAATCAACTGAAAGATTGATCAATAAAAATAATAAACTGAAAGATTGATCAA